GGAAATAATTTTTGTGATAAATCAGAGCAGCTATGCTCTCAGTAAAGACTAGAACCTATTATGGTATAACTAGTTCAACATGCCCTGTTAACATTTATATTTACTGTGAAATCTCCCTTTCTAATGAGAGAAAGGGTAAATTACTGTTAAGTGAGGAAAAATGTTACTATACTCATCAGTTTCTAAAACAGAGCTTATGGTTGTCTCAGGCTCTTTCAAAGCCCTGTTTACAAAGTCAGAGCATAGAAATTATAGCTTAAAAAGCATTTATTCTGTAAATTGTTGGAAATTATTTTTGTAAGTTTATTATACACTTGTAAATTATTTGAGAAACATACTGTATTTGAGGACTTGTCTGGAAACTCCTTAACACTGCGTAATACATATGTAAAATTCTATTATACAGATATATATATATTACATGTGCCAAGATAATGTCAGGATATCCAGTGTGCCAGTCTCTGAAGGTCCTGGTCTTACAGATTCAGGAGGCTTTCCCTGCAGGTGGATTAGACTGAGGTCCCAACTTCTCTGTTGTATTTGTTCCGATATATCCTATTAATTCATTGCAGAGAAGAGAAGGGTTATTAGAGTTCCTTCAAAATGTGAAAATGTATATGTAAAGGAAACTTATGGACTCTGTTTTTAGGGCTGCTCATGTTTCTGTTTTGCTGTTTCAGCTGACTTGAACAACGTACGCTTCTCTGCCTACCGTACGGCCATTAAAATCCGAAGACTGCAGAAAGCTCTGTGCTGTGAGTTTGGCTTTTGAGACAAATTGTTTCTCTATGGTACTTGGGAAAGGGGAGGGTCAGCTTATATCTAATGACAGTGGTGTTTAACAAGGGACCAGCTACATCCTTGATAGATTTTTAGCCAACAAAAGGGCAGGAGGAATTGCCAATATTAGGTTTCATTATTGCAAATAATGAAAATCAGTTAATGAAAAAAGGGATATACCAGGTGAGTTGAAATGGTATACCCAGTAATAATACTTTGAGAAATGAAAATAAATATTGGACCTTTCGACTGTTGCATACTGTTTCTGACACAAGCTTATACAAACCAATGTGAAATGATGTGAGCTAAAATCCTTATCTTTGTTATAAACTCAGTTTTTTTCTTATATCTTAGAGCAATCTGTTCCATTTTTTGTGTTTACTGCTCCTACATATAACTTCAAAAATATTCCTCACTCTCAGATAGGGCATCTTGTTGTGTGAATTCCAGTTTAAAAGGAATTCAGTTTGACCAAAGTGTGAGGGAAATTGATACAGATCTGTATCATTGATATTACTGTACATTTTAATCACAAGAAGCTACTAGGACAAAACAACTTGCTATTAGCTCTGATAGTATGTGTATAAGCTCTACTAGTATGTGTATATATATTTAAGTCATGGGGAATGGTCTTAATTTTAGATAGGAAATAAAAATGCATTTAATGTGTATACTGAGTATTCTGCCAGACCTATGTTGGCGTTTGTCCCTTTTCTTAAGCAATCTAATAATTTAGCCACAGTCCACTCTGAAGAGCACATAGGTTTCATCAACAGGAAAGGATGAGTGTCTACAGAGTAGACTCAATTGTCTCAACTACTTCATTTCCAAGATTCACGTCTGTATCTCCAATTTTCTGGTCTATATTTACTAGAGATTTAAAAATAATTTCATATTATATCACAATTATGGCTTAATTCACCAGCAAGTTGCATGACTACGACGTTCAAAGTTTAGCAGTATCGGAAGTGGTGTATTGGGAGGTCTTGTCCTGGCCTCCAGACATGGGACTTCTCTGAGGCACGCAGCAAGTACCACACTGGGGTTCTGCAAAGCAAACTGAAAGCACTCTTCGGAGTCATCATGCCACTGGTATTTCTGCATTGACCTTGATAAGGACAAGGATAAGGATATGGAAAAGGAAAAATGAAAGATGGTACTTTCCTGGGGAAGCTGAGCTGGCTTGTAACTGCACAACGTTTATTTTAGAGAAATGGGATTGAACTAATAGTTCAATGTAACACTGAAGAAATGATTTACTTTATAGACAGAGGCAAGACATGAAGACAAGGAAGATAACTGAAAGGGCAAAAACTTAGAAGGAAGTGAGATTTTGTCAGAAGGCAGAGAAGAAAGAGAAGGTGTGTGAAAGAAAACTGATTGAAACAGAACTGAGCAGATTAAGGTGTACAAAAAGAAAGAGGTGAAAAAAATTCTGTGGTAGAGATGATGAGATTATGGATTTTAAAAATGATTCGGACTATGAATGGGAAAGAAAATACATAGACACACATCAACCAGAGGAAAATAGGGTGAAGTAAAAACAAAAATGGAAACTGGACAATTTTGAAAGATGTGAGTTGTGAATGAGTGTAAAGTTCACAGATTTTTTTTTTAGACCCTTTGAAAGGTCTTGGCAACAGCTAGTATAAGAACACTGTACAACATTACGAAATTTTCTTGTTTAAATTCAAAAGTCCTGACTATGCAAGGACTTTTCAGCCCTGAAGGGTGTACAGTACTGCAGTCTGAGCAGGAACACAAAAATGGCAAAGCCATCCTAAAGATTCAAGCAAGGAAGGAGTTGCACAAAGAGGAGTCTCTTCCCACCCTCCAAGTGTTTAGTTTTCCTTCCAAATTAGGAGACAGCAGCCTGATCCTGGCAGTAGCTTCTTGTCTGGACTTCAGATATGCGTTATACCAAATGAAGATGTGCCTACTTGGTAGCTAGCTGCTCCAGAAAGCCAGAGTGCATCTCTACAACAGCACAGGTTTTTGGGAGTACCTCTTGCCACTTCTTCATATGTTGTGTTGGCATCTCACAGCATTTCAAATCAAGTTTGAGATCCTGGATTCAAGTTCTTACTTATGGGAGAAACTAGAACTAGTCCTTTGAAAGATTGTCTGATGATACTGAAAGAAAAACTGTACTTCTTTGGTATGGCTTAGCGCATCTCTGTGCAAGAGATGCAGTCCCACAGAAGGCTACAGTTCATTTTCCAGCAAGACTAAAGAGCATTATGAGCTTTCTGCTTATCGGTGTGCGAAGTATAAAGTATGTGTCAACACGTACATTTAAAAAAACAAAAGCAAAGCATGAAAACAGAAAGCAAAGTAAAATTCTCCTTGTGTATGCAGCTTCCCAGGGAAGAGTGGAAAAAACCAAACTACGCGTGATGGGTGCCAATCATGCTGCCTATTTCTGACAGGCATACAGATCATCTAGTGGCCTGTATAGAATGAACTTCATTTTCATTACTTCTAATAAGCTTTGAGAAAGAACATACTTCCTGCTCTTGCTTTTACTGCAAAATACATGTATTTCTGTAATAACTGCAATGGTTATCTCTCCTCATTCACAGAATTCAAAAGCACCCTCCTATCGAAGTGAATATTGTCTCCAGTTTCGGGGGAAGGAGGTGGAAGGAGGACAGGGGGAAGTAGTGAGAAGTAAAGAGAATGTTCCAGTTAGAAAGAGCGAGGAGTAAAACTGTTGTCTCTAAACATCCATTCTGCCTTGTTATTTATGAAGCTGCTTTCCCCATCTCTCTGCCTCATGAGGGAGGATACAACAGCCCAAAAAAATCTTTGTCTTTATTACACATGCATATTTGACCAAGGGTTGGTGTAATTTGTGAGAACAGAACATTGTGGGTTTTTAAGAAAGATGTCACAGATTATCCACAAAGCTAGATGCTACAAGAATTCTCTCTCTGAACAGGTACTCATTATGACTTGGCACAATTTTAAGACTTCCTCCAAAAATCTAATCAGTCCTGTTTCTTTTGTCATTGTTTGCTTAGGTGATTATTTCTTGCCAGGGAACAGGTCAAAATTCCCGTTGACTGTGATGATTTTCAGCCTGATTCTGTCCTGTGAATGGCCTCTGATATAGCCAAAACATAGCGTGTGCTAGCACCTCGTCTCTGAGGAAGGACAGAGTGTTTAAGCACTAAGATTCTTTTCTTGATTTTTATTTATTGGTGGTTTTGTTTTAAGGTAG